TAGAAAGCCAGGACGGGTGGGTTCCTTTGGTTGCGGAGCTTTTGTAGACCGATGGAAATGCTGAATCACTGAAAAGAGGATTTGATCATTATTATACCCAGTGTCGGATGTAGCTATCATGGCATCCTTCTCTATTTCATCTGTCCACCGCTCCTGTAGCTGCTTCGCGGTGAGAATATATAAGGGAGGAATGGTAAAGCCATCAGTTGCAACTCCTTCAATGATAGTAAGACTTTCTCTATTATTTGAACTTCCAACATAGGCCCGTCTTCGAGGATCTCGCGTTACAATCCATTGATCATGTCCAATTCCTATTCTGAACCCTGTTTCATCGAAGTTGTAGATATCGCAATCTTGAATTCCATATTTATTGACTGTTTCTTTGAACCGGTTAAACCAATCAAGGATATGAGATGGTTGATGAGCCTGTTTCCGTAATATATCAATGGTCTTCTGCTTGCGTACATTATACTCTGGATGGCGTTTGAGAAATCTTTTGACCCAGTGCTCTCCAAGCCCAGGTGCAGGTGTGGTAGAATCTGTATGGCTCTGCGCAAGTAGGAATCGAGCAGCACCAAAGATCATCGATCGATTGGGAGGTAGGCATAGCTTATCTAGAGCTTCTATATACTGACAAAGTGATTTTTCCTGCTCAAAAGATAAAAGTCGATTAGCAGGAGGTCGATGAGTTCGCGGAGCACGGCCATTGTATCGATTGAGCAGACGGGAATAGGGAAGGTTATAATCTCTTGCCAATGCTTTGATATTGGGTTTTTCAATATCGGCTATGGAATCTAGAGCCTCTGTGATCTTATTCTCTATTAAAATATATGTAGAAGTCATCACATTGGTTGATTATTGCATTTTGAAAAAAGAGATTCGCGTATTTGAAAATAATCGCGTTGAGATGGCGGATAACGTTGAGATGGCGGACCCTCGGAACGAGGGGCCGACCAGAGGTTGCAGGTGAGCGGCAGCTTACAAATCATCTAGGGCCCGGTTATAGAGGATACGAATCACCCAATCCAATCCCCCCAACAACTTTAACAGGATTTTGGGAATTGGTGTTAGGATTGTCACATGTAAGCATTTGAAGTGGGCAGGGCGCTTCAAGATCTGTGGCAAGCAGTTGTGGCTTGTGTTGCATGGAGCGGGCCCGTAGATGTCTAAACTTGGGGCCAGCGAATGCCGCAAAAGAGATTCTTTTGTTGGCGATTCAACCTCTGCAAAAGATGGACCACAGAATCCAAAGGCCGATGGATGGATGGGAGTGCTCTGAAAGAAGGTCAGCAATGACATTGTTTGAAAGCAGAACGATGAAACACCGGAGTGGGTAGGGCGTCTCAGCAAGGATGCGTTTCTTTGACTTGATGTTTGCTGATTTGTCCGCAGGGTGATTGCAGTTCCATCCATGGGGAATGTTTCAATCACCAGCGGTTTCGAGCCGGTTACACCCAACCGGTGCTTGGAGTCTTGCGATGCTTATTGGCAGCGACTCCCCGGCCGCTAATCAAGTTGCTCGGCGTTGGTCAGCCACGATCAACACTCTTGATAAGTGCTAGTACGAGGACTATCTGATTCTTGCCCCTCTCTCCATTCAACAACGCAAACTTTTCATTGACCCTCGAGTGTGAGGCAAGCATGTGCCTGACCGGGCCTGACCGAGCCTGGCCCCGTTTGTTGTGGCCCGCCTGAAATCTCAACTTTCTGAACGCGGAGCTTCCTTCACAGCTGAATGGCTGGAATATCACATAAACTGGCTCCTGGCGGGATTTCAGCGCGGCATGATGATGCGCAAGCGACAGGGACCTGGCCAATGGAGCGCGGCGTCAACATTCTTCAAACTAAACATCCCCCTGAGGCCCTGATTGCATGAGCATCGCGTCAGACCAGTGTGGCACCGACAACTTGGCAAGGCCATTTTGCCTGTTAGATATGGGATGAGAAGCCCTTGATGGCGTGGAGCTGGGATCTTTTTGTTACTGTGAATCGTAATGCCGGTGTTGGCGCCCAGGGTGTGGTGGCTCGGGACGATCCCTATAGATATGATATGGATATGGGGTTAATCTCCGTCCCATTCCTGTTGATGGGATAATATAGCCCTTTGCGTATTAACCTTTTGGGAGAGGCTTGGAGGTTCTTTCAGGACCATTATTTTCTTTCTTTAGCCTTGTCCTATTGCTTTCTCTCTGTGACTTTATCTTTCTTACCTTACCCTCTTTCTTATTGTACGCAGTTTCTTCTTTTCTGGCGCATTCCGCTCTCGATCCCTCGCGCTATATGCTTTCACACCTCCAACGCCTCAAATCTCCCGCTCTCTCATTATTTTCTGATCAACACGGTCTCTCTGTATGACTCGTATGGGGTCATAGTTTTCACATTCTTTACTGCTACTGTTTGCCCTTCTTTTTGTGCTGATTGCGTTATACACGACCGTTCATGAAAACGGTTTGTGTCTTTTCTACATCCCGCTGTAGCGTGTGTTTGCGTGTGTGCGCGCATCTATCTATCTATCTTTCTCTTGCGTCTGGACGTGACTTACATTCTTTCATTTCCCATTGGGCCGGGCCATTCTTCTTCATCTATCTTCCGTGTCTATATCTTATTTTACATAAACAGCGGACAAGATGCAGTGGATACTGGCACTGCTGTACCTATATCTCTTCTCATCCCCCGCCGTGCTAGGGGCTCCCACGCAACAATCACAACTGAAGAAACGAACATTCAAAGTCCATCGGATACGTCAGGTAGATTATGTGCCTAACGGTCTAGCGGCGGTCAGAAAGGCATATGCCAAGTTTGGTATCATTGCTACAGATATCAACTTCGGATCTTTAGATCTCAACATTTACCCAACTGCAGAAGATCGCCAGGCTGTAAACAAGGCAGACGAACCAGATGAAAATGGCGCTGTCACCAATGTCCCAGCGAGAAATGACGTTTTGTATCTGGCCCCCGTAACGATTGGTGGCCAGGAGTTTGTGATGAACTTTGATACCGGTTCGTCAGACACGTACGTTCATACCATGATCCCCAGAGTATGGAACTGTGATACTATACGCAGGCTAGGGAGCTGTATTTATACATGGCCATGAACTAACAAATATACATACTCTTCCTTCTATCTCTTTACAGATGGGTATTCAATACTAAACTTGACCCACGCGTATCTGCTGGCCACTCGGTTTTCGATCCGGCAAAATCCAGGACATTCCAGCTACTCGAAGGCTCTACCTTCAACGTCACGTATGGAGACTCCTCCTTCGCACGGGGTGGAGTTGGAAAAGACACAATCGACATCGGTGGTGCAACAGTTCGAAATCAAGCCTTCGGCCTTCCAAACCAGATCTCAGAATCATTTCTCACCGACGAAGCCTCCGACGGCCTCGTTGGCCTCGGGTTTACAAAGATTAATACAATGAAACCGGAAAAACAAACCACATTCCTCGAAAATATCGCGCCTGATCTTCAAGAACCCGTCTTCACTGCCCAACTTAAAGCGCAGGCTCCTGGTACCTATGAATTCGGCACAGTTGACAAAAGAAAGTTCACTGGTGACATCGTTGATGTCCCTGTGGACAACTCCCGAGGTTTTTGGGAAATCAAATCGAGCTTGTTTAGGGTTGGCGATGATGGCAACATCCTCACCGTCGAAAATGGCGTGACCACCGCGATCGCCGATACGGGCACGACGCTGATGCTAGTGAATAAGGAGATCGTGGACGCGTATTACGCGAAGGTTGAAGGGGCGGAGATGTCCCCGAATGCCGGTGGCTTTATATTTCCCTGCAGCTCGACACTGCCGGACTTGTGGGTGTCTCTAGGTGATACACATCTGGCAAGGGTATCAGGTAGTTTATTGAATTTCGCTGTAGTGGGGACTGACACATCCACCAACACGAATCGTAAGTGTTTGCACCATTTCCCTCATCATATATTTTGATTTTAGCTTTTGGCTTTGCCCCAGAACTTCATAATCGCGGCTAAACCCCCTTTTTCGCACCCACCCAATCCATGCTAACGGCTATCTCTTTCGTTGTTATAACCAGTCTGCTTCGGTGGTGTCCAATCCAACCAAGGCTCTAAACTTCAAATCTGGGGGGATATATTCTTCAAAGCACTCTTCGTTGTATTCGATCTGCGAGGCCCGAAACTCCGAATAGCAGCACACGCTTAAGAAGGAACCGAAAAAACGATAGGGGCAAGAAGAAGACTTAATAATGAAATCGAACGATTTATTGTCTCTTATCGAGAGATTTCTAGAAGACGTGATCACATACATATGACATACAGCGTGCATTCCAATATGTTACTTTCATAATCTCCCTCAACCACCCCACCTTCTTCGTTCTGACAAATGAACCAAGAAAATCGGCGAAACGCCCTGCATGCCAGTTCCGCGAATGACATCTCTTGGTCCTCTCCGTTTCCGGCTATTCCACCATATTGACGAGGGACGGGGAAAGTAGACGAAGAAGGAAACAAGGAAGCAAGAAACCAGAACGGCGTCATCAACACGATCGATCATCCTAGAAAGTCTTTTTCAGCTTTATCGCCCTTCAAGACCTACTTGGTTCCATACACACGTATTTTCTGCGGCGCAGTTTTTTTTTTTTTTTTTTTTTTTTTTTTTTTTTTTACTTGTTCCCCTGTTTTTATATGTATCTGTATTTAAAGCATAGATATATTCTTGCTGGGAGTGTCTGCTCCTTTTTTTTTTCCTGTACATACGATTGCTACACCGATATCTGTTCTCTTGGTACGGATTTCTTCGTGTAGCCCTACTATGATAAAGGAGAGCTGGCGAGTTCTTTTGTTGTAAATGAATATGTTTCGAGTTTGGAAGAAACTGTTTTGATTTTATTATCTACATAGGGAAGCTCTCTGAGCCCTTGGACAACCTGAGACAGCATAACCATTTCAACATTTCGACTTCTTACTTTGATTTCCATCCAACCCAACATTATCAACAACAGAGCTATAGAGAGTAGAATTTCATATACTATAGAATATACTATAGACGGTAATAGTCTTTTCATTCTCGAAGCAGTATATCTCAACAGTGTACAATTACATCACTGATGAAGGCTTGAAAAGTACTATATATACTAAAGAGATAAGGAAGAATAGGTAACTCTGATAGATATTGTCTTAGTTATATAAAATCAATATATCATTTCACACTTCAGTGTAAAAAGTGATATAAATTAGTATCATAATATATATATTGAGGCTCTTTAACGATGTGACGGTTAGCCAGGGGCAGAAATGGTGGCTTTTAGCACTGCTTTTGGGCCTCCTAACTGCCCAACCCTGTAGCCCTTGGTTTTATGAGGGTAATGCTTAATTAAGGATCAAGGGTACTGGAGGATCAGTGTGGGCCGTGAAGTTGCTCACCTTGTTCTTGAGGTTGTGCTTGTCAGGGTTCGCGGAGCAAGGGAGCTGAAACCATTAGTTAGTGAAAGCAAACGTGGTGATGATGCTGGCTCACCCAGATCCCTAATGATAGCACTTGACAGAGCTGGGTAGAGGGATCTATTTGCCGATGGTACTGTACAATCATGCTCAGGAAGCTCATATGCTTCGCAGGATAAATTGCACATCACAGGATCAAAGAATTATTTGGGTTAGCTCATTACCAATTTGAGATTAGCTTGTTTAAAAGAGTGACTAATCATTAAATCAGTGTTAAAACAGCAATTAGTTATCCTGCGAAGCGGCTGAGCTTGCTGAGATAAGATGTGATATTAGATAGCCTTTCGGTGACTTCTGCCGGTGTAGGATTGATTACACAGGCGAGGGCGGGATAAGACAGCACCATCCCTGGAAGGGAGGAAAAGGTGGTGCATCCGGGAGACAGAGGAGAAGAAAGTGAAAGTGAAAGTGCGTGTTCGTTGCGAGGGTGCGAAACTGGGATTTAGAGATATTTGAACACTACGCTGTAAGTTCCCGACTTCATGCCTTTGGATTCCAACACACAAATACAAATGCATGAAATCAAATATTATATACTCAGAGATTTCTTCACCACTAAACTTCAATGCTCATCAACAGAATTGTTTTTTTTAGAGTAGATGTGGCTGACTACGAGCTAACTACTTAGTAGCATATGCAACATGATTGAATAACTAATGGATGCAATGATATTATGATATCAATGAGTCAATGATAACTTAACTACTTAATACCTCTACTATTATTAACTAATGAAAACAAGCTTAAACTATGCTAACTATCGGAACTTCATTTCATATGCGTTGGCTACTACACTACGCGAGCAGGCAGGGATCTCGATACTAATAACATCAAACTTCATACAGCCATGGAGCGGCGATTCAGCCCTGGACAGGCAGTGTTCAAGATTGATGACCACCCACTGCATTTTCAGCTCCCAGCTGGGACTAGGTCGAACAGCGAACGATTGGGGCCTGGCATGGCCTGGCATGCTACTTGACCTGCTCCGAGTCTCCATCACAGAACATTGACGAGAAGACTCAACTCTTCCTCGAATGCATACCATATATCCCCATTAGCCTCCACGATGACTGTCAACTCTCTTTTTACAGCAGTGACCACAGCTCTACTGGTTAGAAACATTTCCATGTTATCGCTCAGGTGTATTGTCGCTAATCTCCCCTTCAGCTGCCTATCCTCATCGCTATCCAAACTCTCTACTTCCACCCACTCTCTCGCTACAATGGACCAACACTGTGGGCCATCACCCGTCTCCCGTACCTGCTTGCCTTTCGATCCGGAAAGCTAGCTCACAAGGTCAAACACTTCCATGAAGTATACGGTGATACTGTCCGCGTGGCCCCAAATGAGGTATCTTTCATCAACCCCAGCTGCGTCAAAGATATCTACAACCGTCGCCCGAGTTCCGAATTTAAATCGCTTCCTAAGGACCCCATCCGTCAACCTCCACCGCAGCCGGGCCAACCGATTTCTATACTCGAAGCCGGAGACGAGGATCATGCACGAATACGGAAATCGTATGCATCTCTGTTTAGTAGCAAAGCCTTGGCTGCTCAGGAGCCCTTGGTATCATCGTACGTCCACAAGATGATATCGCAGCTACAGCTTCAAACGGGTGAATCCAATACTACAGTGGTTGACCTCCAAACTTGGGTAAGCTATTGTACGTTCGACATCATCTGTTCACTGAGTTTCGGGGAAGACTTTGGCTGCCTTGAAAACAACAGATACCACGAATGGGTCGGAATGCTAGTCTACTCTTTAAAAGGAAAAGTGCAACTTGCAGCGTGCCGCTTCTACCCGTGGCTCTTCAGACTTCTGCTCAAGAGGATCCCTAAGTCAGCGATGTCCCTGATGGCGAAACATCAAGCAACAACACGTGAAAAGGTGGATAGGCGGCTAAGCTCAACTGTCGACCGGCCGGACTTTCTCTCCCATCTCCAGAACTCGAAACACCAGCTCTCGCATGCTGAAATCGTGACAAACTCAACTACGTTTGTTTTTGCGGGAAGCCATACCCTACAAACTGCTATCACCGGGATTCTCTTTCATTTGCTTCACAACCCCGAGAGTTTGGCAAAGGTAACGGAGGAAGTGCGTACCAGCTTTGCCACGACAGAGGATATTGGATTTAGAAACCTGTCGAAGCTGCCTCTTCTAGATGCTGCAATCATGGAGGGCATACGCCTTTCCTCACCAGTGCCATTAGGATTAACAAGACTCGTCCCGGAAGGAGGACACACCATCAGCGGCGAATTCTTTCCTGCAGGGGTGCGTCATAAGCCTTCCACCCCCACCCCCACTGGAAACAAAAGCTGACTACAGCAACGCAACAGACCATAGTCTCATACATGCAGTGGGCTGCCAATCTCTCCGCTTCCAACTTTGTAGATCCCACATCCTTCCATCTAGACCGCTGGCTTCACACTGATCGCGACCTCTTCGCGAACGACCGACGGGACGCAGTGCAGCCATTTCTCCAGGGTCCGCGGGACTGCATCGGGCAGAACCTCGCGAGGATGGAGATTTCCTTGATCTTAGGCCACCTTCTTTACCAGTTTAATCTCAGCCCCCTAACGGGAGAAGGACATGCCGGGGTGCAAAGGTGGGAGGATCAAGAGACGTACGCGGTTTGGGTGAAATCACCATTGCCGGTGAGACTGAGTGTGCGATAATTACTTGCACACACAGGGAAATATGGATGAATGTTAAGAGACCACCGAAACAATCTGTTTGACCGAAACAATCTGTTTGCGATGCGGCGCAGCAGTACCACTAATTCCCAAGGCTGCTGGGAATCCAGTAGCTCTCAACTGCTTTTTTTGGTCCACTATTCCTCGGTAGCAGTGGTCGAGGAAACATGCAAATATTGTAAATCACGCAATCTTGTGGGAGGTTTTACCACTATATTAAAAATGACCAACCCTTAAAATGGGCACCTACTCCTCAAGAGAGATATATATCTGCGTGTTTCACAAATATATCTTAGGATAGGTTCACCACCAATTCCGGTGAAGGCCACAGATGAAGGCCACCGCTGAAAGACATTGACATGACCCCCAAGGGTCATAAAACCATCTAAGTGTAGAACCTGCTAGAGCTCAACAGTATTGCACATCTGAGAGTCAAAAACGTCGAGGTGGCCTGGTCTGGAACAAACCCCTCACTGGCTACGAGATGATAAATAGGATCCGATGGTTCGACGCCAGACTTTTTCTGAGGGATCCCATATTGTCTGTGCATGGTTATTAGACCTCCGATACCACAGAAAATACATCTCGCACCAGGCCTGGGTTCAATGTGATTGAAATTCAAATGATATAGACAAAAAGTTCTAATCGAGAGCTTGGGATATTGCCCCACAGACCTGATCCATAGTCTGAAACCCATCCTTAAGCCAACACTGAAGAATGATATCACCCAATAGGATACCTGTTGTGTCTGCTAAGTCTTCCTTCGGCGGCCAATAGGGAAACCACATATCGACTCCATTACCATTATCTCTTGGGGTCCTCTCGGCAATGTCAAAGGGCGCTTTCAAGTTCACGTATACCATGTAACCTTTCCCCGTCATAATCTCATAAATCAGGGACCCAACAGCAGCGATATCAGCTTTCTCTGAAGAGGCGTAATGCACATACTCTCCAAACTTCACATCGTCAGGAACTATAGTAGAATTCCCAAAATCCACCATCATCAATGAAAGGTCATCATCGAGGAGAAAATTGCCAAGATGGACGTCGTTGATAAGGACATGTTTCTCATGCACCCGGCGAACTACATCAGTAGCCTATCTTAATCCATCGAAGGCGTATGTCGAGATCAATCTCGTATATGTTAAAGTGGTCCTGAGCAGTACCACCTGACATGTATGGCATCTCGATACCAACATCCGTCGGCCAAGCAGGTAGTATGCCTTCGACTCGTCCCAGATGTTCGTAGACCTGTTTTTCTCTTCTCAGAGACTCAAGAACCGCCTTGTTGGTATTTTCGCAATGAGACTTATGTTTCTAGGTTCTTGTCCACGAGGTGGGTGCGTAAACGAGGGACTTTCAAAACCGTGTCATTTGAAATCTTGAATACCCACCCAGTAATCCCGCCTCCAATAAACTCCCCAAAAATAGGTGATCCATCAGCACCAAAGATATCTTCGTGTGCTGAGTGCGTCGAGGCGTTAAAAGCTGAACGTTGTTGGTTCGAGGTATCAGTTTGGGCTTTCGGCTGAGAAATAAATGTGGACAGAGCTATTTGAAGCCCTCCTGAATAGAGAGATTAAGAAACACATCACAACAGAGACAGCAAACAGAAAAAGTGTGGCTTGACATTGCTGTCAAACAGTGTCAACTTCAGAAAGACAGAATAATGAGTTCAAAAAGCAGTTCAAAAAGCAGTATTGTCAAGACAAGAATTGTCGGGCAGAACCACCAGCCTCCATGTGGCTTCACAAATGGGTGCAATTTGCTTGAATTGGGATTCAGATTTTTGACAAGAAATTTTCAAATCTGGAGACTCTGTCAAGTCAATTTCATCCACTCTCAATGTTATTGATAATGCACTTGTATTCAATCATATCCTCAAGAAGTAACTATGACTAGAGGTTAAACTTTGGACTGGAGATTACAAAGTAGATTAGGTTAGAATTCAAGAACCAATAGCTAGTTAGAGAACTAGCTAGTGATATGTATACTTTATCACCAAGCACGAAGCGGTGGAAATATATGCCTTGCGCACGCTAGGAATTTAAATGGTAAAGTGGTTTCTGTCCCTCCTTAACTTGTTCAGAGGTGATTCGGGGCTGTGTAACGCCTACGGTGCCTATTATTTAGGGTGCAGGCTTGGAGCAATTTAACCCCGCTGCAGAAGTCTAATCGAGCAAAGAAGGCAAATATGAAGCTGCATCAAGATAACGCAATAAATGGTCACTCTTATTTGGGCTGCAAAGTCCGACTCTGCCACCTCCTCAAGTTGCCCATCTAAATGTACGTCTCTTCTTGGACATATTGAACACTTCAGCAGAGCTCTCTTCGCTCTCCTGGGTTACCGGAGCACCAGAGGCAGTGTTCTGCAACCATTATCCTCTTCCAATACAGATGTAAAACTAGAGCCTTGTATATCAACACTCTGCAAAATATAAATTTGGACCAGACAATCTAAGTCAATACCATTCAGTGTCATCTATTAGTCTCCCAACGACCTTGAAGGCCTTACATTGGCTGGATTTCGTCGCGAGGCATCCTCATATGCGCTGAGGTTTTTGGTATGCGTTGCAGGTGGTTAGTTGTCTGGCGAACTAGAAGGGAAAAGGCTGTACGAATATAGAGCATATTGTATTATATTTATGTGGATTTAAAAACCCCGGTGGGAAGTTCCAGAGTTACGCGAAGAAACACTGATCATTATAATATTATGCTATTTATGACTATGATCAACCCTAAAAAGGGAAGCTGCCCTGGTGCAGGTTATGGCTTCCCCGTGTGCATGATAAGCCCTATTTATCATCAGTTCAGGTAAGTCTTATTACCCACTGTATTACCTTCAACAATGGAGCCAACTCTCAGCTTCTTGACATGTCTACAAAGAATCTGAGACTCTTCTCCTCCTTCAGTTGTATTTGCGAAGCTCCATTGCGCGTCTTGATACTCTGTTTGGTCGGAAAATGTCGATAGATCAGAGTCATCCAAGGTGAGAGCTGCCTCAGAAGCCGTCTGACACTGAGAGGTTGAATGAAGAAGCTGAGATTGGGGCTTTGCATGTGTTTCATTTACTGCCCTAATAAACTCATCCCTCTTTTCCTTTGCCCAGTCCCAAGCATTTCAGTATGCAGATGCTCCATGCTGAAAAGTTCCTGGGTCACTGATCATCGACCAGCCTTTGAGCTGGGTCATAATATACTCAGAGTGACAGTCTAGACCTTCAGGCTTGATGAGATGAGTTGTGTATAGCTTGAATTGACCACCATGATAAGTCAATGTAAAAGTGTAAGCATTGTTGTTGTAAGTTGATCTGTCTTGTTGATATGACTGAAAAGTGTGCATACTCTGAGCTTCTAATGTGCCGTCATAGCAAGCCTGCTGTGTAGCCACAGCCAAGAATCCATCAGAATCTTTTGCTTTCAAAAAGAAGTTCAGTACCATTGAAAAGTCATTCTGTGTTGATGAAATAATATAGTCACTAAGTTTGTTGTGAATTTAATGAATGTGCACTATAGAAGTGATCTGACTTGATCTGAATCAGAATGTCATCAGTTAAGAGGGCAAGATTTCCAAGTGAGTATCCCTCTTCAGCACATTTGGGATCATCAACATCATCTTTGATGATAGAAATCACTGACATTGTGACTGATTGTTTTTTAAATGCGTGGGTATCTGCTCATTTGAATTTTCAGAAATGCTTATTGAAAAAATTTGATGAGGAAAGGGAGAATCGGGGTTGAGCTAATCTTTTATTGATCTCCTCTCAGTTTTTTAGCATTGCTGGTATTCAACCATCTGAATATTCATATTCATCAAAATAAACACCATGATCAATTAGATTCTGCTGAAAGTTACAATTATAGAGTGTGGTGCTTGTGAACTTGGTGGTGCTCTTCGTATCTGCACTTGTTGATGGAGGAGAATCTGCGCGTCGCTTTCTACTCCGGGACCTTGAGCTCATTGCTTTTTCAAGGAAGTTTTCCAGTTTAGAATACTGGGCAATATTATCAGCAATGGTATATTTGCATGGATTTGTAGTTACGTACATTTCTAAGGTCAGTTAGGTCAGGTCCTCCCAATCTGGAAACCCTTTTTATCTGCTTTGAACAAGCGGGTGCACAATCATGGAGAAAGGCTGGAGCAAACTGAAAAGGATTACAGCACTTCTTCAGCTCAGTGTGAAATCATTGAGTGAGAGGTTGATGATGGTTCTGAGATGGTTTCGGGCAGCTGTTTCTTCGATCTAACTCCTCTAATGCATCTTTGGTTAACCAAATCTTTGACAGGTTATCCCAATATGCTGATGCCGATGCGTCGAGCTTCTGCCTTTTCCGAAATCGTGACCTGTCGGATGGATGGGGCTTAGGATACTGACGCTTGCGAGACGGGTTGGACGTCACTGAACTAGGCATATGGTCATAATCACAAATATTTGGCTCTTTTATCTTGCGAGTATGCATCGAGGTCAGGAGGGCCAGAGGTTCTTGTAATTAACTTTTGCGCAGGATCCCAGAATGCATTCCAGGCGCTTTTCCGGAGATTATTGCTGTGTGCCCAATAGGTGCTACTATGGTAATCACGTGATATAACATACTTCTTTTTAGCACGGCAAGGCGTGTGGGAGCGGTAGGTGGGTCGTGACTAAAATTAGCAATGCTGCCTGGAGTGGTCGCCTGTCGCCTGTCCACTCAATATGCCATTATCCTTGCCTCCATTAACTTCTTCTCACCCTTCACACTTCGGCATTTAACGTACGGGATATATCAGAACGATTACGTAAATCCATCCCACTCTCGCTGACCAACAACAGAGCAAGCCCGGGAGGGGGAAATGTGTGTAGTCATCCAGTGGTTAAAAGCAAGGAGCCAAGCGCCTGATGGGGGTGAACGAAACACTGCCCCCTATTTACAGCATGGTCCAGATCATGTGCCATCGATTTTAAACTGTGCGTCAACGGACTGATTGGAAAGAGTGAGAATTTTAACCCTGTCAATGAATAGCCCTCCCGTTTTATATCAAGTGTTGTCTTCTATGTAGTTGAACTTACAATAAGTTTCATTCTCTTGCCAGCAAGAAAGTGACGGTTTTCTGGAGGGAACGTTACATACTCAATGTGAATATTTAACTCCATAGGTACATCATCCACCGGGCCAACATGGGAATTTTCGGTATCGGATATTTTTCATGCTTTGGAAGCGTCGCTGCTGGTCGTCATCTTCAGTCGCCCAGTCGCCGGTCCTAGCATAGTTAAATAGTTCTTGGCATTTTGCCGAAAAATCTTCTGGCCCGTTCCGCTGCTTAATTGATGTTCCATACAGCCAAGCATGAATTTTATCAACTGCAACACCAGCCGTTGATTTGGATATCTGGCCGCTCAGATACGCCATCGTACCCATGCCACTTGTAATCGGTGAGTCATGAAAGTCCCCCAGCGGGTGTGCAGTACCCATGTCCCCTTGATACAGGATGGAGAGCGAACTTGATTTGCTCAGCATTATTGTAGGCATATTGCCTAGCGAACGCTGTCACCAGCACCATCCATCATCCCTTCCATCCACCCCAGATCTCCTTAGCGGGCGTCTCTTCAATTTCGTCTCTTGAACAGTCTTTCGAGCGCACCACTGCCTTATCGCTCCTCTTCTCTCCCCTAGCAGATCCTTGCTTCGGATGGACTGTAGCTGAATGCTGAACCGCGTCTTCTTAAAAATATAGCATCCAAAATCACAGAAAGTGGCTGAAAATAGGCTACGAGCGGCGCCGTTCCGTGACCAGATCGGTTCTCCAGTTTTCTCCATAGATTCGGTTGCCTTCTATCGAGACCCTGTATGGTGTCGGATCTCGAGCGTGGCTGAAAGGCGCAGCTTCATTTGGTCCAACCCTTGCACTAGTGCCTCACGACAACAACTAATGCATGATGGGATTATTGTTTTATTGCTGCACAGCTCCATACCTTCCTTGCTCTCACCCCCTAATTTTATCTACCGGAGTTTGAACGATTGGGCGGTTGATATATGAGGAGCAGGATTGCTTGTGAGAGGCGGAGATTGACATATTCAAGCACTCTCCCTGCCAGTGATTTCTTCTCTGTGTGATGATGATTTAAATTCGCGAGGCTTTTGTGCCAATGACAAATTTCGAAACCTTCGTCTTTACCAGATACTCGGAGATGATGTGGAGAAAGCACGCTGGATATGAACATCCCGTAGATAGAGAATTATAATCTAGAAAAAACCCTTCACTATTTGAGAAGAGTCAAAATCGACTTGAACCCCTTTCATTTCGAAAGAGAATTGTCTTACGTTTGGACTATCAGCGATAAGCAGATACAGGAATGCAGCTTGAGCATGCGAGCTTCAGTCATAGCATAGTCTTTGCAAGCTATTTTTAGATTATAGCCCCACGGTGTTGTAGGTATGCTAACTACGGATACCCGGAAGTATAGGACCAAGTTACTCAATCCGACTATTAATGTCGTCTCTGGCTGCTTCGATTATAGTAGAGCATCCATATCTGTGAGAAATTGCCTCAGAATGTCGCCCAAATTGTCCTTCTTGATCGAATACGTCCCTGTCGCAGGCTCATATTTCACTTGTTCCACATCATCCTGCAACACCAGCCAGCATGCAATGAGTAAGCCTTCAACCTCCCAACCAATGCGAACGGCAATGTCCGGGAAAACATCCAAACCACTTCCTCTGTCACACCCCTGCGCGGTAAACGAGTTCTCATATATGTCCTGCCACGCAAAATAGAACGGCGCTAGTGTTGGATATCGAGCCTCGATTATGTCCTCATCGACGTGAATCTCGTCAGGTGGGTTGTGAGGTGACCTTGTGTCATGCCAGAGATACGATGTTTGCCAGTCTGGAAACAATCGATAATGATATTGACACTCGTTCCTTTGTGGCTCCACTCCGTGGCTCTGATCAACCTCTGTGGAAATATCAACAGTGCTATTGATGTCACCGCAGTTAACGACTGTCAGTTGTAGTCCATATGCAGTTTCTAGGAAAAGGCGTTCTTCTCTCGAACGTTTCTATGAAACAAACAATTTTGTCCGTCGCGCGATCGCATGCGTGCATTTCCACAGAAACGTCTTTAGCAAGGTTGTCAATTTCAGCATATATGATGTAACAGGATGATGATATGTATAAGAGCTTTTGGAGCATTCTGAATTCGGGTGGGCTTTGCTCACACTGCCGCTCTTTGGATCCTGCGAGTGCTTGCTTCCCTGGTCTTTAACAGAAGATGAGTTCGATGGCAGACCGGGATCGGACGGTTGAACGGACCAGGAATCGACTGCTGTCTGTCTCTGATATATAAAAACCCGTACAGGCTGTAGTGGAGTTGTCATAGCTGAGGTTGTTGGACAGACTGATATATTAGGTGAGGAGAGGTTGATTCATGCAGATGCAGAGGATGAAGCGGCCCTCCAGAGTCAGCGTATCAGCCGTCCCTGTTTGAGGTAGAGTCGCTCGCGATGGAGGAAGCATCCTTTTTCTTTGAACTGAATAGATGACACGACAATCCTCCCTCGGTGGCAAACTTGGACTTTCCTAGTCTTGTCTTGGGTGACTAACTGTATTTACTTTCCATACTTGGCTATATTATTTTACTTTAGTTTGTCCGACACTAGATAAACATAGAGGTACTGGCGGAAGCCTCCCAACGATCGAAAATTTCAATTTCATGCTAGATGCTGAAATTTTCGATATCTCAAAATATGTGATGATTGGACGGATGGATACTGTACCGTCGCAAGGCAACATTCCATGCTGCCAGAACTGGGCCTGTGAACCTAGGAAGAAAAAGCCACGTCAAACGCCCACATGCAACTTTCAGAGACCATAACCAATGCTAGGCTGCATATGCGTTGTCCAATAGAACCACTCTTCATGAGAAAAAACTTGGGTTTAAAGAGTGAAGTCAATCCGTCTCATCGAATAATTTATATCGGGCACTTAAGTTAGAATTTTTCAAAAGTTCATGACCATGACGCCCAACGAGGCATTGATCAAATTGTTGGACCAAGTTAGCGAGCAGTTATGGGAACTTGACCTTGATGATGCTCTCTTCGAGAGGCTGAAAAAGAGGTGCGCATCACTGACGGCACAGATTGCTGTGCATCGTTCACTGCAAGGAACAATAGCGCGTATCCAACAAGGCCCTCATACTCCTCTCCCAAATACTCCGAGCCGAATATACAAATTTCTGGACAGTCTGTACGGAACAGAGACTTCAAATACCCAACTAGAATCGCGATGGCAGCAATTACGAAAACTGGATTGTGAAACCTTCTTGCTTATTTCAATTGCTTATACGCCTTTGGATATCTCAAAAATGCACCGCATCGACTTCGACTACTTGATTCGAAATGCAAGAAAGGTTTTGGACGCAAAGCCCTTGTCACAAAAATGGATATTTCGTAAAGAAATTCAACTGGCTATAGCAGAGAAATCAGAGCTCCCAAATATTGGGATTTTTAAGAAACGTAGGTTTACCATTTTCCAATTCTCCTTCCAACACTGACCACTAATAGGATACCATGAACTCGAGTTTCTCCCAAATGATTCATCAGGCGAGCAGCGTGAGAAACAATTAACGTTTCAGGGCAAAACTAACAGGCAATCATCTGTTGATCAAGCGCAATCCGATGTCGACCAGCGAAAAAAGCGGAAGCGCTCTGATGGACTTCAAGTGAGGAACCTGGATGCGAGCCTGTCAACTCCTGGAAACAGCCAGGCTTCTTCCTCAAACATGAGGCGAGATACAGGCGTTCCGGACTCGGGTCCCGGGCATGATTTGGTACTGGGGCTCCGAAAAAATTCCATTGCAAGCGCAACTAGCACGGAGAAAATAGGGCTAATGTACACACCGAGGGTGAGCATCAAGATGTCCGAGCATGCAATATGCCGCAGTCCTGCAGTCGCTGGATCATTAGCAGTACTAATGTGAATAGGTCAACTACCAAGTCTGCGACAAATGGCACTTATCGGACTAAATGCCAATAGTAGTATAACCCACGGCCCCACTTGGACATGGGAAATGGCTGATTTAATGAACAGATCAAATCCCTTGCGGGCACGTTGATGTTGACGGCAACCAGGCGCTGCGTGCACACCACCCCTCCATGTACGAGCAAGGGAGGTTACCCGCAACGGATTCTAATTCACAGTCGCCATCCGACGAGAGAAGAGGTGAGGAGAGTCCCAGAATGCACCATGGCCATGCTAACATTGTAACAACAGAAGTGAAATATATGTACACGCATGCACTTGCTAGCAACATATCAAAGTTGCCTGAACCATTTAAAACAGCGGTAGAGAATAGCCGGCTTTGGAAATGGGAGAGAAGTCGAAATTTGAACGCAACAGGATGCGTAGCTACTTTGTTCCCGAAGGACAACACGCAGGATGTTTCTTTCACTATCTGGTGTGGAAGTGAAGACGGGTACAGTCTCACCGATTTCTTCGGAATGCAGCGAGATAAGCCACCCTAGACCTTGAAATACACACTAGCACTTCTGATGTATATAGTATAACCGGCTGGTACCTCATAGAGTCGATATGTGGTTGTAGGAATTCCGTCGTCTTTATGTGTTTTGTAATGTTCTTTTTGCACGTGGTAAATTGAAAGGTAGTCGCCCATGAAATATATCTTCCTTTCATTCTCGGTCGGCGGGAAATAGTAGGCTTGAATATCCTCCTCTTGCCCAGCAAGGGCTTTATCGCCGGTCTAGGAAAATCACACAGGTCAGCTTCATGAATGTGAAAGGGTCCAAGGAACTATATATTGCCGTACCCCCATTTGTACTGAAGCACGCGCAGCTTTTATGGTGCTGCCTGAATAGTGGCCTGCGATGTGAAACGCGACGGCACCGCCCTCTGAGCAGAGCCCTTGGAATGAAGGTCAGTACTGCAGCTGGACGGTTTTTCAAGCAGAATCGGCTTGTATGGCGGTTTTCATGGAACGTAATCGATGGTGATTTTCGCTAACGCGGGGGGCGAAAATTTCTAGGAACTGAATCACTGATCGATAATTTGGCATAAAACTCTGGAGGAGCCAGGCGAGAGAACTGGTTTAAGAAGTGTAAATTTGAAGGCGTCAACGCTGTTGATATTTGGTATTGTCAGCCTCTCCTCTAAGGTATGTGCTAGAATAACTTTGATGCTGCGACGTAAAAAAAAAATTGAAAAGCAGCCACATCTTGAGCAGTCTGTCAACCAAAAAAGATCATTGCGTCACTAAGAAACCCGCTCAGAATGCAATATGTTGGGTATCGACGCAGAATCGCCATGTGACCGTAATATTGAGGTGGGGTCATATAGCAAGCAGCCCCTCCTTCCGCCCACTTCAGAGAGGTAAATTGCAAAGCGAGTTCTTTAACGAACTCTTAAGTTCATTCTAACTTACTACCCGCAAGCTTAGGAGAAGTAGGTTGGTTTAATGTTGGAGAAATTGAACGGCTGAATGATGGAATATGAAAGTTTAGACCTTTTCAGAAGCTGGAGCAACACACAAAGTTGGTCGATATATATATATATATATATATACATATATATCTCCCAGGACTCAATACCCACTCGGACTCCAAAAGGGGTTAGTCCAAATATTTTAGCGCATCACGTGATATAATCTAAGAGTCCCGGGCAAAGCTTTTATGGCACAAAAGTGCCATCGTATCCCCCTACTATATTAGGATCCAGCTTAAGACGAACAACCTCTCGACATCGGATCCTACCTTCGACAACAGAGGCGTTCCATCAAAAGAACCAGTCTACTGATCTACCCCGAGCTAAGCGGTGGGCAGAGACACGCACGGAAGACGTTACCCGCGCCGTGGTGCGTTTTTCTCCCCAGCCTCAGAAACCTCACCAACTACTCCAATCTCATTTCAAGTCTGATCTCCCCTCCTCTTAAGGAATGACTTCTCTATCGGAAAGTGACCACAGTGTTATCAAGTGCCACCCCCTAAAATAATCTCTCAGCCACTTACAAGATTTGCTCCAGGAGGTGGAACAATCACACTCCTTGGTCAGCTTCTCTTGATGGCGCTGATGACAGATCTGAACAACTCCAGGATGCGGTGTCGCAACTTCTCTCTACCTTTCAGGGAGAAAAAGCTGCATTCAATCTTCGTTCAAAGATAAGCAGTCGTGACATTGCGTTTGAACTTTCACGTCTGTTTGAGCGGGTTCGAAACGGCGACTTCAACTACACCTACTACCGTCCACTCATGACGCTCGTCATCAAAAAGGCGCCCGACCACGATATCTGGAGCGCCGTTCTCGATCTCATTACTAGGCTCCCAAGAGTGACCCCCACACCAGCAAGTGTCCCCCCGGCGTTTAACAGCACGCCGATTACGCATACCTCCGCGTCGCAGCAAGGCGCCGAACAGACCCGGAAGCTGATCGAAGCAAGAGTCTTTGAGGAGATCCGGGACTGCGCGTATCGGGTTGTGCCAGGGTTCTTTGAGAAATATTTCGAGGGGGAAGGACTGGACAGATCGCTCCTGGGATGCTTACGAATCGGTAAAGGACCAACATGACGGTGAATGGGCCAGTCTCGCTGGTTCGCCCAAGCAGGAAAAAGTGCATGACTGGTTGTTCCAACTGCAGGACAATTATCTCTCGAAGGAGCGACGTCGCTACTACACGATCAACATCCCACGGGAACTTATCGGCGGTGAGGCTCGGCGGCAGGTCGACCTAATCGTCAAACGAAAGAGCGGAAAGCCATCGGACACCGAGCATGACTGGAGAGACATCGAGGCGATCGGTGAGCTCAAGGCGTCAGATAATAGGGGCGTGAAGGATACGTTGGTTCAGCTGGCCCGGTACGCGCGAGACGTGTTTGCCTGTCAGCCGACGCGCCGCTACTTGCACGCATTTAGCATCGAAGGCCCGCAGATGACAGCGTGGGTCTTTGACCGCTCAGGATGCTACAGCTCGGGTCCATTCAATATCCACAAGGAGCCGGAACGATTCATACGGATGATGGCCGGCTACACGATGATGAATGAGGACGAACTAGGTCTGGACATGTTCATAGAGCGGGACGGCAACAATCGCTTCCAAGGAAATGACGCGGGCACAAATCCAAAAAAGCGATCCAGGTCGAACAGCCAGCGGTCGGGGCCATTCCATAATGAGGTCACGTATGATGTGGAAGAAACGCAGGGGGCAAGTCTGGTCGCTCCCAGCAATGGACCGTACGACAATCGCATTTTGCGCTGTCTCGTCATCTATCCCGCGGGCCGGCCAATCCATAAATACCGGTCGTCCTTGGAGCTGTTGCAAGCGTTGCGCGACGCGGTCAAGGCGCACAAGTCCTTATATTTCAAAGGAAATGTCCTTCACCGAGACATTTCTGAGAACAACATCATCATAACTAATACTGAAGAGACTGGCTTTGCGGGGATGCTGATTGACATGGATCTTGCTAAGGAACTTGGCACTGGGAGAAGCGGTGCACGCTGTCGCACTGGCACTATGGAGTTTATGGCCATCGATGTGTTGCTCGGCGCGGACCATACATACCGGCATGATCTTGAGTCATTATTCTACGTGCTTATCTGGCAGTGTGCCCGCCGTGGGTGGAAATTCTCTGATAACGCAAAGGATCGACCAAAAGACAGTTTGCTGGACGAAATGGTATACTGGCACCTTCAGGGATATTGCAAGAATTAAACGAAGTGATATGGGCGTCGATGGCTTTGAGGATATCCTCAATGAATTTCCACAACCCTTTGGATGTGTCAAACCGCTCTGCAAGGAGTTGCGGGGGATTTTGTTTCCCTACAGGAATGGCCTCTTCACTGGCACACCTAAGGATCCAGAGATTCTCTACCGGCCAATCATCTATGCTTTTGACAAGGCTATTGATGATATCAAGGCGATGGAATGATATACTACCGCCAATTATTTCTGTAGTTCCTTAATTAAATACCCGCTGTTCTTTGTTCAATCAATCATTCAAATTTGGGGCACTGTGCCGCAAGAGGAATTTTCACATATTTTTTTAAACTCGAATCCACTCCCTGCAGTCTAATCTCGGCAAAGATTCATAATTCACCATTCCTCCAGCACTGCAAGCTGTTTTGTAGCGCCATCAAAGTTAAGCCCCCATAATTGCTTGTTAAACAACTGGATCAATGGCTCTTTGGGTGTCATGGTCAGAGTTAAACTTTCGAAAATTTCAAACTTGCAGCGTCCGATGGAACTCGTGGTCAGGTCGATTGATTACGCCCCCTAAACACAAGCTTAAATTGTGCGGGGTGATCACCAGGGTTATTATTGGACTAAGCATATGCAGCCCCGCACC